CGACCATGCACCACCGGTCTTGGCAATCTCTCCCGTCGAAGCACGGTTCAAAGCTGCAGCTACCAGATCAGGTGTGGAAGGTGATGTGCCTTTGGGAGCTGCAGCTGCCTGCTTTGCACTAGATGACTCTTTAGGCGAGGCCTTGGCCTTTGCCTTAGCTGCACTATCGCTAGCCTTTGGAGGAGGTGCCGGCGGGGTAGCCTTGCCCTGCTTTGCCTTGGGTGCTGCCTTTGAGGGCGGGGGTGGGGCGGCAGGGTCAGCCTTTGGAGGCGTCGCCTTCAAGGGCGGTCCCTTTGGATCATGGGAATGGGAAGCCTTTGAGTTCGAGGGAGCCTTGGATTTGGGAGAAGGCTGAGGACATGGAGCCTTCGGCGGAGCACTGGCAGCCTTCACAGCAACCTTAGGCACAGCACTAGTACTGGCAGCCTTACTGGGAGCCTTCACAGTCACAGTAGTTTTGGGTCCGGGAGGGCTGGTATTGGCCTTGGCACTTGATTTTAGAAGCGGCGGAGTCACGCGAGGTGTGGGAGAAGCATCTGCTTGCTTGTGGCGGACTCGCTTCAGGGGAGGGCTCGCAATCTGTGTCTGGTCATAGGCCACTGTTGCTGCAATCGATCCTGCATGTTCACCACGGTACACATCTTATATATGCAGCGCATGCACATGTTTAGTTCACTGTGCATGACTCGAAAACTGCTTTTGTTCCATCCTGTCGACGGAGAGCGGAAAACCTCTTTGGATGAGCCAGATCTGGATGGTGGCTTCGAAGCTTGTGATGGCCCAGATTGCTTGGTCGACCTTATGTCCAATTCTATACGATTATATGCGTGCGCACATGCATGCACAGACACGCGCACATAGCATGAAATGCAACCCTGTCCCTCCAGGGGCCCCACTCAATGACTTCATCACTAAAGGGATCATATTTGCCAGAGCGAAGCTTCTTCTTTTCAGGACTTTTGACCGACATGGTGCTGCTCGATGTTCACAAGGCACAACCGCTGAGTCAAAATCTTACAGGAACGAAGAGTGATCATGATACAAAATTAGCAGTTGTAAAATCACGGACATAGCTTGCAAAATCACGGACATTGCCCACAAAATCACGGACATTGCCTGGAAAATCACGGACAATGGGGTACCACACTTTTTCTTTCAACTTCGAATTATGCGTTCATGATTCATTGAATTGGAACATACATTGCCTTTAGGCACTGACCTTTGACCCACATGGCGAAGAGCTGCATGGGGTCGACATAAATTAAATGTGCTACATCTGTCACATTTGCCCACAAACCAAGTCTTTGAGGGCATAGATCAAATTTATGCATCCACACCGGCCGGCATAGCCAGGGGGAACTTAGGCTTAAACTTTCCCCTTTGAAACTCATCCCACAGAAACTGATGCAGCTGGTCCAGGTCGGCGTCCTTCCACTCACGTGGCTGATCCTGTGGAGGCACAAGGTGAGTGACAGACCCTGCAGGTTGATCAGGAACATCCAAGCACCTTGCTACCTAGATAAATCACTCGAGAGAGGGTCCTGCAAGGGAAACATTCCAACCTTCAATTTCTGAGGAGGTGTTGCCTCGATGTCATGATCGATGTGCAATATTGCAAACACTAGTAGTTACCACCCCATTGATATATCATAGATATAGGCGTATATATAGATATCGGTGTACATAATATTAGGTGGCTAGATATACGACCTATACAAAATTGGTCAAAGGTGCTCGCTGTTTCTTTTGCTCCTTGATAATCCGTGCAGCAAACCGGCTAGGGTAAGCCTGGGTTCTGCGCAAATCTTTGCCCCCGGTCCTTGGCCATCCAAACTTTGAGTTTTATAGATCTGGTGCGGTTTGAAGTGGTATTGGTATCGGTGCTTCATAACAGAACAGTGCGTGCTGCAAAATGATTGACAGCATGGTTCAAGTTATAGCAACAAGCTCTGGCACACAAAAAAGATCTAGCTAGCTAGTACTTATAAAGCTTAGAACAAATTATCAGGATTTCCAAGTCGAGAATCACCCAGACCTTCCTTTGTCCCTTCGGGTTCTTCACACGAGTCTTTTTGACGACTTGGATACCTCGTTTCTCTTGCAAAGCTTTGATCCGTGCCAGCTGTTCCCGGGTGATCTTGTTGGCCATGTTCTTGATAGGTGGCCTTGGAACAGTTGCTGCGCCGAGATCACGTGGGCGGCTCAGACCAGTTGAGGCTCAGACCAGCTGCCAAAAAGTTGCGTCGGTTTGGCAGACAAATGCCCATACAACCCCATCCACCTAGAAAAGATGGTCGGGCTTGAGTGCAGCTGCTAAAAAGTACCTAGCTAGCTAGCTATATCGCGTTTTGGTTTCTTCACTGCACACTTCAATGATAAGGTCCCCACATCCGAGCAAGAATGATCTTCAGCTGTGGAATCATAAAGAGGTACTCATAGTAGGGCGTGTCTTTCAGCAGTGAGCTCTGGGGCTGCTCAATTGCCCAAAAGACTTCACGGCTCATGGCCACCAAGACCAACAATGCAAATCTGGAGAGTAGAGTGTTCGACCGTGTTGTTGGCAAAGAAAAGGGGTCTCCCATTACATCGTACCCTGGCATCGATCGTTTGCTCGAACTCCTGCTCACCCACACCAGGAGGCTGCAAGGGACCCCCCCCATAGGAGAGCGCCCGGCTGGAGTCTGAGGACTTGTTTGAGCGCATAAAGAAACCCTGACCTGGGCGCATTGACATGCATATTGTTTTTTGTGAGTCCATGCCTCTTGAACTCCAAAAATATGAGTATCGAGCACTTTAAGCAAATCGTTTGCTGCACCACGGTGGCTCTCGTAGTCGAAGTAGTCCCTGAAGTTTGCAATTAGATCTAGAGCAAAATTGCCTTCAAAAGCCATATATGTTCGAACCAGTTCACTTTTTTTAGAGTCTCTTCATAAAGGTAATGTGTACATGATCTCACTGCCTGTTCCTGGTCACATCCCTGTAGGTCTAATGCTCACCAGGAATGTTACTGGGAAAATAAAACTGAGTAGCAAACGAGCGAAGACCATGTTTTCCTGCAGCAGCAATGAAATCACTGAGGTCGTTCCAGGGCATCAGAATCATGAGAACTCCATCGCTGCCAGGGATCCCAGTCATTGATCAGTCAGTTGGGAAACGTTTGAATTCGATTCATGACCAAGTTAATTCCCAATAACTGAGCTTTAGACGGGCTTGGCCATAGATGCGGGACTCCCCACTGAAGACTTCAAATACTTCCAGGTTCTGAGCGGTGCGACAGCAGTGTCCCTATGCCAAAGCCAGGACTAGGCACTAAATCTATTTTAAAGGTGTATATATATACAGGGCTAGCTATAGAGTGCACATATATAATTATAATTTACATCGAATCGATGATCATCCACGGTGTTTCATAGCTTGGCTCATGACGCGCTTTGCCAGGGAAGAGCTTGTAGATAGGTTCTGGCAGATATAGTCACAAAGGTGAAACCTAGGAGGCTCCATACAAGCCACCAACAACAACTGGTAAGTGTACAGTGCATTGTCGATCCTATAGCTAAGTATCTGGCAAGACCACTGGAGCTCCAAGAAATCCCAACAAGGTCACTGCACGGGTAGTCATAGACAAAGGGTGCGGAGCTGGAGGCATGTTGTTGCAGCCGTACAGATGTGCACACAATTTGCACTCTTTTGGAAAAACTTAGCCCTTGAGATTGCAAAACGTCGTGCTCAAGCAGTTACCCACACACGCATACCAAATATGCGCAATGCAAACTCAACAAGATTGTCAGATCCTTTGATTGCAAATACCGATGTCAACGACATATATTATAAGTCGAACATAGTCCAACAATTAATATATATTCTTTGTAGGCAAACTAATAGAGCTCCTACTGAGTCCTTTGAAGGAAAGACTTGCTGACTTTTGTTGCTGGTCTAAGGCAGTGGACGGTCCACAGCTCCCAACGCAGACTGAGATCTCATTCAAGGCCTGCAGTCTGCCTTAACCCTGAGGACACACGGCCAGAACACCATGTGCATGCACGATCATGAAAAAAAAACTGACCCTGGCATGCATGTCAGAGTTTCTTGCTCGATAGTTGCATGCTTGGCGCACAAGCTCTAAATGTGTCATAACACCCCCACAAAATACTGGTACGGAATGCTTCAATCCCTAATGTACCAGCGATGATCAGATCATTGTCGATCTGAAGATTGATACCAGCTAGCTGCAAAGCCTGTCAGCATCTAGGTCTTTCATTGATTGAAATGAAGATCACACCGATAGCTGCACAGGTGGAGAGTTTTAGCTCTTGACACTTTCCAGGCCGCTGCCAGACTCAAACAGATCGGGCTGTTCATTCAGGTTCAGCTAGTACCACCCAGCCAACTGACAAGCCATATCCCACCTGAGATTTGGAGTCGCTCTGAGATGGATTGGGGAAAGCTGCCAGTACACACATGTGTCGTGTAATTAGGTGCTTAAATCAAAACAGTTAACGTTGATCGATATATGTTTGGCCACGCCACCCGTTCTTCAGACCAAATGCTTTCATTCCAACAGAGCATCCACCCTTTCGATTGATTGAAAGACCTTTCTCACGCACCTTGCCCTCAAAGCCAACTGGCACATAGTTCACATAGAAGGTCCCATTGGCCGACCTCATAATATTTTTGTCCAACACATCGAAATCAATTATATATATAATATAATATATAGTACAATATTGAATTCACACATCAATGCACGATACGCTGGTTCTCTTCGACTTCCTTTGATTCCGTGTATTAAGAGTTGCACCTTGGGGCAGAAAGGATGACACCAATCGACTTGCTGCCTTCACAAGCATCTCCAGGTGGTTGGACAGTGAAAGACCTGGGCATTGTTTTGAGTTTGCAGAATGTTAAGACGCTAGGTCTAGATCTACTTATAAATTAATGATATCGATGTATGTGGTTTCCCGATATATGAAACACAATTTACATGTACCTGGCATGGCAGTCTAGCTAGCTATACTGTTGGGCTCTTGGCAGTACGGGGCAAAATTGCTGCCAAAATTCTTGGCAGTACTCGGCAAATCATCTGGGATTGCGAGGCAGCGGGCTTTAAGATCACGAAGCTGTGTCACCACCTTGATCGAGCTTGAGGACGGTTTCGTATGCATGAAAATCATTCATGGCCAATTGCATTGAACAGCGAGGCAACTGTCATCGATCAATATGTGTACATTGCGCATGCTGTATGCCTATATATATATATACACACCATTCGAGGTCGATCTAGTTAGATCTGTCAAGAAACGAGCGCGCAAGCCTGGGGATCCAGCTGAAGAAGTGTCAACGGTTTCAACAGGCATGGACTTCACAGCTGCTGCCTTGCCCATGGGTTCCTGAGGTGCCTCGGCCTGCTCCTGAGCAGCCTTACCCTTTCTAGTCCTCTTGGAACACGGATGCGGGGCCGCAGCACTCCCTGCCGAATCAGGTGTTGTCACCCTTTTTCTCCCAGGCTTCGAAGGCGGTTCAGGCGCAGGCTGATTCCCAGGCTGACTCTTTGCACTTTTGGGAGCAACATGTACAGGTTCCGGGACCTGGGCACTTTTACCACGCCCTCTCCCTCGGCCACGCCCTTTCCCTCGACCTTTACCTTTTCCCCTTCCCTTCTTGGCGGGAACATGCTCCCTGGCTGCCTCATCCTCGAGCTCTGGACCATCTTCTGGGGCCTTGAGAGCACTTCGAATCTTCTGCTGCGCCTCCCAAGAGGAAAATCTAATCAGGTATATAGCAGCTGGCTTCTTGAAGAAGCTTAATTAAGGGAAGACTCCGATGCACATGCACTGATCACTCCATATATATGTTCAACACCTTTCGATCTATATCAAACTCACAAGTATGCAACGCAATGTTGCACATGTAACATGGGGGCCTTCAGAATTGTCTCCTTTGTATCTTTAGGTTCTGCTTGCAGTGCCTGTACTGCTGCCTCCAACGTGGCCTCGGCCTCTGGAGGGATGACAGCTGGTGCCGTTACCAGTGGCCTCCTGTCCTGTGCAAAGGCCAGCAATGGACAGCTCCACACACACACATACATGTATGTGTATACAAATATATATGCTCGATTGCTTCAGCGCGACTCACCACTCAAGTAGCTAGTGTTTTAAAAAAATCGCTGGCCTGAAAAGTGCCCTTCACAACCTTCCTCTTCTGACCTGTTGCCGTTCTTGTCTCTACCTCCTCATCGCTCGCCTCTGCGCCTTCATCACCATGTACAGGTGGGTCTTCAACATGAGCATCAGTAAACATAGGCTGGGTCTCAATCGTGCTCGGATCCACCAAGTTTTCCTGCAGCAGGGCAGCCATACATGTAATAAAACATGCGCTAGCCTTTTGCCAAGACATGTGCAGCTAGACACAGTATATACAGGTTACCAAGACACCTAGTTTGAAGTTTTCAACCGAGCTTGCTCATGCATATTAGTCAACATACCACACTGGCCAGCATTGTCCTGAAAGGCGCCGGCTTTTGTCTTGGACCTTCGAGGCTTGGTCTCTGAATTTGTGACTGGATCCTTTGGAAGGACTTCTCCAAGAAGAGGCGATTTGGCCTCACACAGCTCAAAGTGACGCCCTCGTCGGAATCGAGTCCACCCTTGATGCCTTCTGGCTGCTAGCTTTTGAAGTTCTTTGACAAATTGAGCCTTTGGTTTGCCCGGTCTCAGGAAATGTCGAATCCGTGCAACCTTGAACCGATTCCACCCTGGCCACCGCTTGAGCTTTTGTTGTAGGCTGACTGGCGGGTCAAGTCCAAACCTGTGATACAAACCAATGTCAACATCATCCGGAGGCCCTTCAACACCAGCCTTCTCCTCCGGATCTTCTCCCTTGACATCAGCCTCTTGCGGTGTGAAGCACTCTTCGGCAATCTGCTCTGCGTCCTGCTCTATCTCCTGTGCGTCCTGCTCTTCAACATCATCATGTGCGTCCTGCTCTCCATTCTCCTCTATCTCTTCCTGGTCCTCATGCTCTGCAACCACCTGCGCATCACCTTCACCATCCTCCTCTACTTCCATTGCATCCTCCTGCTCTTCCTGCGCTATCTCCTCACCAGGCTTTATGCGGAAGGTACATACATATATATATATATATACACAGAAATTCAATTTATCTAATTAGTTGTACATGTTGTGATGCTGTATTGTGGGGGTTCACTTGTAAAACAATTCAAAAACTCCGCTCCTCAACTTGTTCTTGCTCTTCGACTTCCTCCTGCTCCATGTAACCCTCTTCTGCCTCCACAGTCTCCTCTGCAACCTCTGCATCCTCACCACCTTCAATCTCTGCCATCTCGCCTTCCACCTCACATTCTATCTCTGGATCACACTCGGCCTCCTCCTCCTCAGGATCTTCTCCATCCATGTCTGCATCCTCAGCCGCTGGAACAGCCTCCTCCACCTGCTCCTCCGGGTGTAGGACTTCTGCAGGTTGAGGGCCCTGACCATGTACAAGGCATCAACAATATTGCTATTGCATTTTTGACCACATGTATGTTTCGAAACACGTAAAGTGCTCAAAGTATGGGCGTCCATGCATTATTCAAAGTTTAAACATGAATTTAGGCATCAGTGTACATACACTATATATACACACATCCCACATGTTGAAGAAACAGATAATATAAATCAATCTTGGAATGCAGATTTCAAGCTTGTCTATAAGTTAATGCGTAAACTGCTTCAGATTCTGCCCAGACTTTTTGAGAGTTCAACCCATACCCTGCCTCACTGCCCAAGCTTGAGTTGCTGCCACCTCAAAGCGTGTTCTGCACAGGACTGGATGGAAGCAGCATTGAAATTCAGGCTGGGGGCTGGGATGCGATCAAAGCCATACACGCAGCATAAAATTCAAAACAAATTTAAACTTATATCTAGTATAAATATGCAGGGAAACACTGCACGTTTGCTCCATTGACGGATCGATGTATTTTCCTCATTTGCTAAGTTGCGGGCCCTTAACATAGGGCCCCGAAACTGATCTGATGGTGTCCTTGAGATGCGAGATCTCTGAGCAGAAAGGTCCAGGCCTAGCGTGACCAAATTTGATGAAGGTGTCAAGAGCATACTGTGCATTCTGGTCATGATTTGATACATGAACACACAATCCACATTCCCTAGCACATGCGCAGCTAAATTGGTTGCGAGCGCAGATTTGTAGATCTAGAGCACTAGTCACTAGCAAGTCTTGCAGTGGTGCTTGAGGCCCCCAACTTTGTGTTCAGCGACCTCCTTTCCAATGTCTTGAACTCGGCGATCAAGTTTCGGAACTCCATCGCACATTCGCACGACTCCCCCTGGCATAGATTTCAACATAAATTTGTAAATCATATATGCCTGGCGTGGGATACATGGCCATATACATTAAAGCAAATATCTAGCGGAGCGCAATCAATAGCCGGCGCCTTTTTGTCCTTGATCTTCTTGGCCATTAGAAATTTCAACTTGTCGTCGGCTTCCATGATTGCTGCCTCAAGCAGAAGAAGGCTCCTAGAGTTATATAACTGTATACGTACAGGTACCGTGTCAAAGGATCGACCCAATTATCTAATTTGGGTTCTCTTGCATGCGCAGGCTTGCCTCTTTTTAACGCTATAGATCTCTTTGTTCATGCCCTGTAAATGCATGCACATGGACCCATACCTCTCCAAAAAACAACTTGCCTCCAGTTCTTTTGACGTCGGCCCCTTTCTCCCGAACTTGCTGAAGAAGTTGATCAGGCTCTCGTAATTGGCGTGAACCTGCGGAAGATACTGCGCAGCTTGGCCGGATATCGATGGATGCAGAGAGTAGTGTAAACTTTGTGGAGGCCTGATGCTCCAGCTTCAGATCATAGCACTCATTCAGCAAAGAGAAGATCGGAGGGTCCTCCCAAAAATGCTCTTTGAATTCAATAATGTCGCCTTTAAATCAAATTTGGATATATATCGATTGCGAAAGCATGCATGCATTGTACATGCATTACGGGTTCTGTACAACACCCACTATAGGCCTGATCTTTTTTCATGGCTGCCTTTTGCTTCAGCTTGAGTTCACCCAAGACATTCTTATCGATGCGACCAGTCTCGAGCATCCACTCCTGGCCCGGGTCGAACAAAGTCTAGGTGCTCCCCAGATTTCCCAGATCACCCAAAAAGGAACTCGACCGTTCAAAGTGGGTACATGTGTACATCAACATGTGGTTACTCGAAAGCACGCCAGATGTACGTAAACAAGTTTGCACTTCTCAAGGCTGCATTGCCGCTCTGCATACTTAAAAGTCGAAGGGACTTCCATGGCCCCCAGCCGAAAGCAATCTAGCCAACCCTTTGACCCGATACGCGGCTTTTCAAACAGCTGGCACTTCAATTATAAGTTTGTGCATGCTGCAATTGTTCTGATCGATATGTGTTGAAAGTAAATGGGGCTCTGTCTGCGAGTTCCCAAGGCTGGCGCTTTGATGACACGCGATCTGACCTGGGAGATGCGAAAAAAGGTCTTGCCGGGCAGTTGAGGTTGCGAGTCCAGATGCATTCTAAGGAGTGGGCGGCGTCTCTTCCACTGGGCTCGGTACATGGCTTGGGGATCTCATCACTGCAACCCCATCATGGTCTCAAAGAAAATACGTGTACAGTTTAAGAAATGATCTCAAGATCCTGGCCAATATGCAGTAAAAACGTGAGGAGTACCAAATGTGTTGAAGAAAGATGTTGATTCTGAGTCAGTCATGTCTAGAAGATTTGTTTGCATGTCATCAGCCAATGATGGGCTGCAGGGTTGACTGCACAAACTCGATCGACGTCGTTATAAGGCTTCGCCTCCCCCATACAGCATCGTCTCATACGTCGCCGTATAACAGAGACAATCGCACCCCTGGGGATAGTAGTTTCATGTAGTTTCCACTTTGCTGGGGAGCATGAGCATTGACATCAACCCACGGCATTCTTCTTTTTCGGAGGGATTCACTCTCCTATGCTTGGGGGATGTTCAGGTTTCAGGTATCCGTTTGAACGGGGTGGATGCAAAGAACCCACCAGCAACCTTCAACAAGCATCACCTGTCTACAACACCTCTGGATCAGAGCTGCCGCCACACGCTTGACATCTTTGGACTCATGCTTACATGGTTGTTGCATGTTTGTGTGGAAGCCAACAGTTTGGAAGTCAACAAGGCATGAGTGTCAGAAGCATTCCCCAGGTTCAGAGATTTCAAACCAAAGAAACATGATAAAACTCTTCTCGTAGCCCGTCTGCCAACCCCGATCTTCAATGATGCCAACAAGATCCAAAAAGTCGCCGCTTTCCTTGCCTTTTGTGCCACGTGTATGTTCTCGCCTTCTTTTGGAGATGTTTGGGGGCCTTCCCCAAGAAGCCTCTCCTGGATGAAGACCTTGAGCTTCTCCGCGTCGAAGTCCCCGAAGTCGGGCCTGACGACGTCCGTCAGGTCCGGGCCTCCGGGTGTTTCTTTTGGGACGGGTCCTGGCGCAGCTCCTTTTCCGTTCTCTGCCGAACAACCTCTTCAACATGAATGGACAGCGGATGAAAGCGGAAAGGATGTTTGGATATGTTTGGTGTCTTCCCAACCCAGCCATTCTACAGCGAGTCAGTGCAGCTCTGAAATAACTATGAATGAATGGTAGTCGCATGGGTTCAATGGGCTGAACACCCCACTGTCGTCTGGGCCCGGTGTTGTCGTATAAGTCTTACGAATTCCAGAGCACACGCTTCTCCAGTTCCAGCCAAAAGAAACTGTCAAAAATCAAGCTTCTGCTTCAGGTGATTCTACATGATTCTCCATTCGCAATCGTTTTTCTTTGCTTCAGGCGATTCTTTCGCCGGAAAATGGCCTCCTACTTCCAGATCTCTTCCCCCACCAGAGCAATAGAAACGTGGAGCGCTAAATGTATTGGTTGTGAACTTCAACGCAACATTCCGCAAGTGTGATGGCACCCAAATCCAGCAAACCCAAGCCGATACTCTTAAGATCTCATTGAGGAACCCTTACCCCGGCCGCCTCACACTATTCTTTTGGTTCCTAGAGTTACGGGGAAACTTAACCATCACAACGCCCTAAAGTACAATCCAGTCCCCAAATCTTGGTAACCAAGCTCGACATGCTGAATGAATGTGTATATATAGTCTTATGTCTTGTTGACCATGTTAAAAACAAACTAAGCATATTGCATAAACATATACAAATATATTATATATGTCTATACTATACCAGGACCCTCCAAGGGGTGTCTATGCATAGCCCCTTAGCTGTTAAGGGGGGTCCATTAACCACCCCTTGCGGGTCCTGGTATATATTAAAACAATATATAAATAAATTGCACAAACATGTATACAGAGTCTTTGATCTGCGGACGTCGTGCCAGGATTTCAGCGAAAAGGGAGACATGGCGTCATGCACCCGCCTACTCTTGGGAATGGCTGCCGCTAGGGCGGCAATGTCCACCCAGCCTGGGGAACATGCAGCACAAGTGGATGAACTGTCGAAAGCAGGTGCAATGACCGATCGTTTGAGACCTGTTGATACGACGTTGCAACGACTCTTCTGGGCTTGCAAATTAGCGGGAGGGAGGCCACCGCAAAAATGGTGACACACTTCTGAGCAGATCTGAAGCCGAATCTTCCAGCCCTTCCAGAATCTTCCAACCCCTTCGTTCCATCACGTGGTCCGCATGAAGTTTATGGTGTCATAAACATTTTCCCTTGCATAAAATGGATTCACCTGCTCCGCCGGCTGGACTTCCCCCCCATTTTTGAACTTGCAGTCAGAAGCATTCAAACAGATTATCCCCTGTCGAATTACTGGTGTACTTTGGAACGTGATTTTATAGGGAGAAAACGAACAACCAGGCTCTGAGGGCAGTTGGAAACATGTTCTCTACAGACTTTATAGAATGAGGTGCCTCAGGGTATGGGCGTTCATCATCATCATCATGAAAAAATGATAGCAACAAATTGGAAATCAATGATATTGATTCTATAGCAAAGTGTGGGCAAATATGAAGGTTGAAATTGGTTTTAGAAAAACACAAGGCAAAAGAGACATTTTTAGACAATGCAGGGTTGAAGTTGATTTGGCAGATGCTGGGCAAAAGTTGCCCAAGAGGTTGGTTTTGCTTTTATAAAAACATGTTTGGACAATGCGGGGTTGAAATTGATTTTAGACAAAAAGTTGAACATAAGTGACCAAAGAGATTGGTCTTGATTTTATTGAGACATGTTTGGATACAAATGTTGGCCGATGTGTAAAGAAGTTAATTTTATAGAGGGGTGATTTATCAAATGTTAGGACCTCTATAAAATCTGGTGACATGGCGTGCCCTGTGTATAGAATGAAATGTCGGCACCCATTTTGCGAGAACAAACTGACTATTTTGGACCCCATGTTTAAAATGCGTTTTCCTTCAGGTAGGTTGATATGTTCATTCTATTTACAGTAAAACCCTGTCTTTTGAGCTCAAGCTCTCAGATTCTATAGAGTTTATTCGGTGGGAAACGTGCTTTGGTAAATGGCAGAGATCCGGAATCCAGACTCTACGATAGATGTATGTTATATGTGTGGACTCTTGATTAATAACCCCCCAAGTTCAAATCCAAATGGCCTGTTTCTCAATCAACATTCCACACTATAAATGATTCATCCTCTGTTAACCAGTCTGACTGTTGGACAAAGTGGCGGCTGGGAGGGCAGTGGGCATCCTGACGTTCTTTCAGAACAACCTGCCCACACCCAGTGCGGTCATGTCCCTCAGGCTCGTACCCCCTTCGGCCAGCATGATGCCCAGTTCCTGTCACACGCGGCAACATCCCCCCAGTTCCAGGTGCGAGGTGCGCTGGAGTGTTCTGTTCGGGTCGTCCATGTGACACGTTGAGGCTACACGAGTTTGGAATTCTCTTTGAACCAAAAAGTGTGTCAAACACATTGTGTTTCAAATCGTGATGTGTGCAGGTGCCAAACTACGAAGCGAGCACAAGTGCCCCACCGAAGCAGTTGAGAGATCGTGAGTCAAAGCGAGCCCAGTGCTGGTTGGTTCTGTGATGTTCTTTGAAGGGCACCCAGATCTGCACATGTTCTACTGCAGATCTCGGCATGGAGGTCTTTCGCGCCTTGTGGACGAGGTCAGTTGCGCAGACCAGTGAGTTGAAAGCCATCCCCGCCCAAATCACACCGCTATAGGCATTTTTTTGGCCAACAAAGAAAGGACGAGCTGATCAAGGAGGTACAATCCATCTCGAATTGGCACATGTTCTCCAACTCATCCAGCGTCGATCAATGTTTCGGTACCTCGCTGTTTGGGCTGTTTGGGTTTCCCATCCAGCCTGGTATCCAGCTTGAACCACCCAGCTCACCCAACGTTGCACCTTCTCCTGTGGACCTCGGCGGCACGACCGCGCCGTGCGCGTGAGAGGTCTGGTTCTGGTCTCTGTCTGCCCAGCATGGCTGGAAAATGGACACCCCCCACAAGAAACCAAATGCTCCAACTACCTACCTTCTGTCTAAGGTCTTTGGTGGGGTGGCTTTGGAGGCTTCTTGGATGTTCTTTGGGCAAATCAATGCTCATCCACTCCAGGGAGTTGCGCAACGGTAGCTACTTGTATGATGGGGACAAAACACATGAGAAAAGTATAAAAAAGTGTCCTGCTCGAATTGATCCGCGAGAATGAACAACATGGACACACCCCAAGGGATGTCAACGTTACAGTGCTTACAGTGCCTGTAGCATGGTTGAGTGGGTCTTCGAAGTTGATGCTTCAACGGATGTGTCATCATGGCAATCAGCTTAAACATATACATCGGGGAAAAAAAACGCCAGGCTGTGTGACCCTGATCAAAGCCACGACCAAAAGCAAATCACATGTACCCCGCCAGCATTTTCCAATTTCAGCATGTGTATATGAGCAAGTGTCTCCTCGTATTTTTCGGACGGTGTTGATTCCCAAACAGATCCAAACATTACATATGTGCCGCACAAGAAAAGAAGCCGAACGAGATCGAAAGAGCAAACTGCACGACTCTGCCCGCTGTCGTCGCGTCCCTTCGAGCGGCTCCAGCGTCGACGATGGTTACGGCCCTGAGAGGGCGAAGGTAGAAGAAGGGACGAGCCAGGGACGGGCCAGTGGTCCAGGTGGGGGGAAGAAGAACTGGCTCCAACATTGGATGCAGCTGATGGGTTTGGGACGTGTTTTGATATTTTTGGATATGTTGTTTGATTTGTTGGGAGGTTTTGGCAGAAGGTCCCTGTGTCACGGCTTGTCACTGCCCTCAAGCAGCTCAAAAGCACACCCTGACAATGGCAAAGGTCCCGCGCACAGAAACGGAAGTTCACTTAACCCGCACTGTGCGCGGTGCTTCTTGGATGTTTTGAACTTCTTCAATTTTCGGAGCTGCTGATGTCATTCCCCATGCAGCTAATAAGTCCCTTATATAAACAGCATCACTAAATTGCAGAGGTTTCAGAGGTTCGATGGCACAATTCCCAAGGTACTAGTGGACCCTCATCTGTCTAAAACATCTTAGCATCTGGGAACCTGCAGCAGTCGCAATTCCTGAGTTGACACGAGTTCGACACCGCCGTGCCCGGCTTTGGTGGCTCAGCCGGCACCAACTTCCCATATGGAGGCTTCTGGGGGCTGTCTTACATCAACCGTCTTACATAGCGTGCCCAAGTCCGCGCTTCTTCGCGTGCCAATTCCGATCAGCACCAAGGTCCAGGCTTCACCACGCCGGCCTGGAGGCATGCTGGGTCAGTTGGGTCGTCACCGACCCGGAGCCCTGGAGCCCTCATACAGTGAGGTAGGTCAAACACCAGATACGTCAACCGGTCGGTCAACTGGGAGAGAGTCAGCCATGGTTCAATCTCTGGCACCACCTTCCCGGCGCTTGGGGCTTTTGCTGGGCCTTCCCTGGGCTCCAGCGGATTGGGTCAACCATCCTCCGATTAGACGTTCCCTGTAGGAGAATCAGAGTGTGCCTTAGGGCGGTTCTTCTACTTCTTGGACCTCGAAACACTGGGAAATACCAGGAGCCAGGATCCAGTTAAGACTATTCATCCTGGGGTGAGGGCCGCGCCGCAAGGGCGGACAACTCATGGGCCCTCATGATGTCCCATGTATCAAGGATGTTTGCTGTTCATCTCTGGAAGAGATGGAGAAGCTCACGTCACCAACGAGTTTAGTATATATACAGAATATTGATGAGTAAGACTTTCTATATTCCCGGACGCTCCATGTATGCCATATATGCTTACATTGGGGTGGTTTTGGGGGTCAATGTAGGCATATGTGGCATACATGGAGTGTCTGGGATTGAAAGAGTCATCAGGAGTCCACAATACTCCACCTAACCGTTCTGGCGCGCTCCCCATGTCCGTCTGGCCTCCCTTTGGAAAGAAATCCGTGTCTTGCGGTGCGCGGCGCAAGTGCCTCGGCTCAATTCGACTCAGCAAACTCACATTCAAGCGGCGTGTCGTTCGCAGCGCATAGATTGCTTAGATCTGCAACTTGCACTCGTGAATAGTGGTCTGGTCAACAATGACTTAGAACATCACCTGGGCTTGCTGGATGTGCACAAAGCATAACCGCAAATAAGACAGACATTCTCCGTGACGACAGTCGGGCCATCACACGGCAGTAGTTACAAAAACTAATCTCCGAGGGGAAATATAACATACACTTACACCGTCTATGCTCCATGACAGGATCGAATCATTCCTCTGCCCAAACAAATGCCTCTGCCATGCCTGATTCCCCTCTCCTCGCATCAACACACACATATACAACATATTAGGCTTTGTTTGGGGCCGATGCTTGATGATGCTTCATGCCTTGTATGTCTCATCTCTCTTGTCAGAGTTCGACCATCAAAAGGCCAAGTTATTTTGGACGATTTGGCATTCGCAATTGGTAACCAAAGAGCCAAAGAATTGAGATATCGCCCGCATTCGCCCATCACTTTGCCCATCTGAGCCCTGCGAGTCATCGGAAAATGAAACAAACAGTCCTCCGATTTCAGAAACGTCCGTCAGCAGTCACAAGGGGAGCCCAGGCTTCTTGTTGAAGCGCCTTCCACACGTTCAGCAACCCCCAAGAAATGTTGTCACCACTGAGACACAACAGTATAGTCCCTTAGGTCAGCAAGACCCATGTTACTGGGTGCCGGAAAGTGCCAACATTGAGAGGTGCCAAAGAATCCATTCTCAAAGGATAATCACTGCCATGACATGTGTTGTTCACAAGGTATCGCTTCACTGATTTCAGTGGTTTAACATGAGAAGTGCTCTATGAACAACCTCCAAGTGGGATTCTAAGACATTGGTGGGATTTCCATCTGCTGTGAGGACAATCCCCAGCTTGAGCTCCAGGGCGCATGGTGTCAGGATGCAAACCCATCTGCCGCACCTTGTTCAAGACCTGCAGTGCGCCCGTGAGAGGGTTCACGGCCACCCAGGTGTCGAGCATCCTGACCGGTCCTTCCCTGACTTCATTTTTTGGAAAGACACCACCTTTCTCCACCAAGTCTTGCTTAGTGGGACACCAAAATCACCAAAACCAACAGTCTTCCCTACCAAAAGATTGAAAAGGCCTTTGGCAGGTGGCTTCCTGTCTCTTCCATCCGCCTGCTCGCGCTTCCGGCTAAAAGGATTCACCTCAGCCGAGCGGGTTTTCAGGAGAGGAGGGGGGAGGAGCAAGGCAACGTCGCTAGGGAGTAGAATGGTATATAATGGTATAGACCTCTCGAGTCAAAGGGTTAGACTATAGACACTGCATTGCATCAAAAATGATACAATCAAGGATATTATACGAGTTAATTAAGTAAACCACAATGTTCATTTGAAACAAGATGGTGTGGAGCTAGATCATTCAAATTCAGCTTCGGAAAGTACTGCGGAGAATCCACAAGGAAATACTATGAAATACTGTAATATTAGCGCAAGATCACCTAAAATTGTCATGGAAAGGGAACATCTCGGACACACACATACAGAACAACATGCTGTCCCGTTTGCACACGAAACACGCCCCCAACGAAACACGTTCATGCGTGCAAATAGATGCAAATAGATGATGTGTGTATGAAACTGCCTGAACATAACGCCAAAAACACTGCCAAAGGTGGGACCTGTGCTAGGCCAAGAAACCACGGCCTTGAACAGTACAGGAACCATCAGGAACCTGCCTGTAGAAGGCTTTTCTGCAAGACACTCAGGCCAGCACTCGGTCATCTGCCTGGCGCCGCTGGCCAAAACACCCGTCGACAACAGCGCTGGGTCCGCGCGTCGTCCGAGTTGAATAGACCAAAGCATACATCACGACCGGTCCAAGCACAGGCATGCACTTGTGGAAACCAACATACGGTCAGAATGTTCCAAGTCTAAGTCCAAGTGCCCTGCAAATTCATGCATCACGTGATCTTGCAAGAATGCTTGCCCCAAACACACTACCAACAAGTCGTCTGGAAGGCATGAGAGCTATTTCTGATGCCAATTGGACTGTACCAAAGTGGTCGTGCATTGGACGAATCCAAAGCAAACAGACTTGACAATCCCTAGGGCTGTGGTGCCTTCTAAGAAGGTGGGACTGAGGGTGTGGAGGGTCCAGGCATACCTTCCGAGGAGGTACGACTTGTTCGCCCTAGGGAATAGCATATGAAGCCTCATGATCAAACATCGTCATCCCTTGCGACTATTTCAATGCCAAATGCTTTACAACGCCGTTCCCAAGAAGTCATCCCCCGGAGTTCATCCCAACGGAGCGCTGATACCCAAACAGGATGCTTATTTTTCACCAAAGAAGTAGACCCAAAGAGTGCAACAACCAATGGAACCCTGGTTCTGAAAACAGTGTGTTGGTGCTTCTTGCATTCAGCTAGTGGTTGGCATATGGTGCTGACTAAGACAAAACAGACCTGACATCAACCCCTCTATGGGTTGCCAGAATACAGTATACAACCTAAAATTAGGCCCAGGCCCCTTTCCAACGCACAGAGTTGGCTTGCGTTTGGGAAAAAAGAGAGACGACTTTCCGCAAAGCCTGAGGGTAGCAATACCTTTAAAAAGTGATGACATTGTCTTATGCCTGTAAAACCTCTTCTACCTCCCGCGCTCGCGAAATCTCGGAAACGAGCGATGCCATCAGCTTCCACTGAGTGGCAAAGAGTCTGGACACAAGCACCCGCCCCACGGGTGAAGAACGAAAAGGCACCCGCCCCACGGGTGATCAAAAAGGACATCGCCCAAGAAAGAAAGGAAAGAATGGGAAAATCCCACGTCGTAAGAGTTTGGCCTGAGATCCTTCGGGTAATCACGACCAACTGTTCGAGCTCTTGGTTGGAAAAATACGGTGCCGCTCCTCGGATTACCCCGGATGGCATTGTTTTACCCCATGCGTGATGTTCCCTTGGGATATGTCTCCCTGGATGCAGCGCAAAGGTCAGTCGGCGCCGGCAAAAGGACAAACGTGCCTGTAAAACCTCTTCATGTGGGTGACGGTGTGTGTGTTCAATCCAAGCAGTCTAAACATCTTCAATAAGCATGGACAGCCAGGAGAAAAAACCATCCCAATACCTCCATCATCCTCCATCCTCCCTCCATCCCTCCATCCTCCCAACGTGAAGCAGCCGACCCACCTCCAGGTCAATGACCTCTTCTGAGCGGATCACATCGTCCTGGCGCGCTCCACGGCCGACGGTGTAACCGGCCGGTGACGGTTACGGAATGGGCGCCGGTGACGCAGCAGGTTGGAGCCCGTTGGAGAGCCCTGCCTCGGCTAACAAACTGGTAAGTTCAACCAATTAGGGGTGGCATACGGGTTCAACCAGCATCAACCAGCATGGTGGTATTCTTGCACGATTCAAGACGCAGTAAACGTACGGGTCAAAGCATACTGAGGTCGCATACTTGTTTGACATGTCTTACATTCTAGTAGCGGTCACTTTTGGATTCTTTATCTCTCTCTCTCTCTCTCTTTATTATTCTCTCGAGCGACTCGGGGGTGCAAACTTTTCAGTTACAACACCTTATCAGCATAGACCTAGCTAGGTGCGAAAAGAATCTTCACCTTCAGCAGTGGTTGACAAATATGAGCTGGTTCGCAGTAGTCAGGGGCCTCCTCTTTGGAAGAGTGAGGATTCAAAATGCGTGGCCCAATTCAGAAGAATTGCCGGTCTGAAATGGCTAAAAGCAAACAGTTTGAGGGATCGATCCAGGAGATTGGCTGGAACTTGGTGGGGCATGAAGAAACATATGGAAGAATCCTCAATGCCTATCTCTACAATCCTTCTACTAGAATCTCCAAATCCGAATCTAGGTCGTCAACAAATCTAAACCACGATGTCATCTATGCGAAGTCACGGTCAAGTTGGCCAGGTAGAGTGGAGGGTAAAAAATGGTTGGGCCAGCCTCCCTGCGTGGTGGAATCCAGTTTGTATAACTGTTCCGACGCAAAAACATCCGCAGTCCAGCGACATGTCCAGCCTCAGTAGCAAGCAAGCAAGGGAGCAAATGACCTGATAACCCAGCAATGTCCATTGAATGCATCTAGCGTTCCATCGCCACTTGGACGCCACATCACTTCGCATCGCGTCTCGAAACCGCACTTGGGCACTGGCTTGTTGCCCTTCTGCCTGTCCGTCCCATCCGCGTTGGCGGAACCCCCCGGTGCCACACGGACCCCGGCGGATCTTTTCCAGGCCGCCACGGTTCCCCCAATCTGCGGGTGTGGACCGGGTGTGGACCGCCAAAAGCAAAAGACTTGATGCAAAGGCTACCCAGTGTGACTTGCAGTTCCTGGCTGTCTCACGAACTTGCACAACTTGATGAGCCATGGGCTGGTGCCCCTATAGTAATAGAATACATGCATTAGACGTTTTAAGAATCCAAGAACCGTGGGCGGTTCTTGGTAGGACAATCTGGGAAGAGGGATGAAAGTGGGATTCTGGAGGTGGAAAATGCTGAGTGGTATCCAACACCCGGGGCCCTATAGATCCTATAGAACTAGCTGGATCATCACCCCCTAACTCATGAGTCGCTCATGAACACCCCGAAGCCACAAGCCAATACGACTTCTCTGCAAGAGCATTCCTTTGAATCGACCTTGTCCGAGTCAAGTGATCTGACTCTTGAAAGCCATCCCATCCATTTGCTAGGGATCCACATACCCTCCGAGAAAGTGATGTGTTCGACACTGTTCTGAGGCGCCTTTTTTTCAGGGTCCAGTGTTCTTTCCGAACCTGAGAAGGTACGACCTGAGAGGGTCCGAACCTAAAAAATTGGGGGATCTTCACTTCTTCGCCCTGGGCCGACTCAGCGCCCGAGCGTTCAAGGTCACGGTCGTTCTCGGCTCCCCGGCTTCGCCCGCGAAAGAGCGCCGTTGACGTTGGGCCTCAATGGATGACCATCACGCGAATTGGGGCGCGTGGCGATGGGCTGGTACCACCGTCCAAGGCCCCAAAGGCCGCGGGATGCACATTCTTTAATCCACTTTGCATGGGGACGCTGGGAATTGTGGTGCACGACATCCTCCTCTGGTGACGTTTGTCCGAATGAGTGGCTTTGCATGGGTTCTTCATGGTTTTTGAATGCTTTTGCTTGGCTCAGCTTGCCAGCAAAACAAACAGGTCACGGACACATGGAAGCCCCTCTTGCTACGCCTTTACGATTCATGCTTAGTGTGAAGGGGCTGTGTTGGGGGCGTGATGTCCAAAGGTTGTAGGACCCCGAGTTCGACTCTCCCATAGGATCCCATAGTCCTTTTTCAGGGACTGCAGGTCACCAGGTCACTTATCACATAAGATATAGTGGGTTGAGAGTAGATGGCACAATCCCCAAGTTGTGGTTCATATGGATCCCCCATCTATCTAAGACATCTTGGGGTGCCAGTGCCATCGAACCTCTCAATCCACTGTAACCTCTCTTGCTTGGCGTCCGACTGGTTCGGCGCCCCGGTGGCGCCCAGGGCCCTCGGGGCCCCACGACGTGGGCATGGGCTTCGGCAAGGGTGTCCGGAGCACGCTGCCAATCCTGAGGGGTCTTTCCACATAGGGCACGGTACAGACTGGTTGATGGCTTCAACTCACTTGACAACTATTGTATATAGTCAGTCCATTCAATCATCCCAAGGTTGAAAACACATATCCATAATCTGAAAGCACCACCTAAAAGAGCATGGTTGAGCCAAGGTGATCAACTGTTCACTGCGGGGACGGGGAGTAGGAATAGTAGGAATGGAGGAGGGTCCAGCAATGTCATTCGAAAAACGAATTTCTGTCGCAGCCTCATGGGCCCAACAAAGCGACTCTTGTGTCTCCAAGAGTCCTCTCTTCAGGGTCACACGGTGGGTGTTCGGAGCCTAGCCGTGCTTCATGATAGATTAGGTTGCTTCAGTCCAGTGATGAGGGAATATTGAGATCACCCGCCCCCCACTGATCTGCAACAACAGGAATGTCTCATCACCATATAAGAGTGTAAATATATGTTGATAGGGGTGACCCTCCGACCATTGGGTTTCAGTCTATCATTGGCGTTTTGACAGGGTCTGGGGTCCCCTATTCTTTAACGTATATCCATATTCATTAAAAAAAATCCGGGGAAGTCTCCTTTCGCCATCAAATCATCTGATTTGAAGCTCCAGGAGCCCACGAGTCTTCCAGAGTTGCAGTAGAACCCTTTTTTACAGTTCGAGAACTGGAGCCACTCCTCCATCCCATCCCGGCACACCGTCTCAGGCAATCGTCGTTGGATTACAATAATTGAAACATCGTGGCTCTGCAACTAACGAAGGGCTGAGCCATGGTCGTGGGTACTCAAAGCTGTTTGAGCAACTGTGTAAACTGTAAACTGTTTGCGGAAAATGAGTCAAATAAGAAGGATTATCATGACATTATTAAGTTTTCTAGGTCAATCTATGCTACATTCACCTAACTCATCGCCATAACCAGTAGAGGTTCTGCAAGCCAACTTGGCCAGCTTACCCTAGGGACTGGTCTAGGGGTATTATTTGCGTCTTTACCTCCAAAGACCAACACCCCCAAAGCTGCAACTAACTTATTGTATCCCTTAAAGCCTTGGGACACGTCTTGGCACAGGTCGTGAAAAAGAAACGACCTAAGAACCTGCTTTGACAAGACCAATCGCGAGAGCTCTTGAGCCACCTGAGAGCTCATGAGCCACCTGATCCATGCCCACCGGGACCCCAACCAGGAACCCTTCGGACATGCTGTTTGGCGCCAAGCGACATCTTGGGGACTCGCTGTTCTGGTGGCCGCATGCCAAACCTCGGGCGCTGCATCGAGCGTGGCATCCGATCCGAACAAGGCAGGTCAAGGGCTCCAATGGTCGAGGGCTCCTCGGAGTGCGCCGGCACCAGGAACTGTGCTTGCTAAGAACCAAGAGTACCACTGCCGCTGAAGAGTACCACGGAATAACTTCTACAACGACAAAGAGCTCAACAAGAATCCCAATTTGGGGTTGGTTAGTTGTCCAATTGGTATTTTTCACAGTTCGTTGAATTCGTTGAGCTGCTTCCTTTACTCCACACCCGCCTATGCGCTGCCGCTCGAATTCTGCTTCCTCCAACGGCATTGCGATGGGGAATGAATCAAGGTCAGTCAGTCTCAAGGAAGGACACCCCAATGAATCTTTGTTATAGTCATAGTCACAGTCGTCTACTTATTCTCCGAATCGTTAATTTATGCATGATTGTTTCCTTATTCCCTGCTAGGCACCAGTCCAAACAACTGATGATGTGTTGTGCAACTTTCGATGACTTTCGTGGCTCTTAAGCCTTAGATTGGCTTCAAGCATTCCCTACTTAAGGCCAAAGAAGAACCCCTGGCCGTGCGAACACCCTCCAACCCCGCTTTGCCCTCCCCCACGTGACCTCCAGATCCTCCAGCCATATTTGGATGACTGCGGCCCTGCTCTAACATGGAATGGAATTTGTATGAATTGGTGCTCGACTTGAGATCAACCAGAGTCTGATAGCTCCAGTGTCGCACTGGACGAAACCGGTGGAATCCCATCTATTGGAGGCCATCGCTATTAGGTCGGAGGCCCTCGCTATTAGGTTGGAGGCCATCGCTATTAGAAACCAACCAAAAAACTATATATATATAATTATATAATAGATATATATATATATACAGTATAAAACTACAAAAGAAGAACAAACCTCCTCCCCGGGCGGCATCTTTTTGCTCTGGGAGGCCCTCACGCACGGCCCAGCACCCCTTCGTAGGGCATGTCGCGCAAGCCGCGGGAACGGTGAGGCCGACCCCCTGGCGGTCAGGTGTGGTCGAAGGTCGGCGAAGGAAGACTCTGCAAATACACGTCATGTAGACCCTTGATCAATAAAAGCTCCCATATTAAACAGCTTTTACCATCAATTGAATGTGTGTTGTCTTTTTAATCATGTCTATACAGTAAAATTCAGATTCTCTTCTGCTGATGTGTGGGTTATGTGAACCGGCGTGAAGGATGTCGTTAAGGGATTCGGATTCCTGCGGAACAGAGTATCAGGAAAAAGTAGATGCTTATTGGGTGATCTGTCCTTCACTCCCTTGCCAAACACAGTTTCCTCCTATGAACAGTTTTGTGCAATCTACCAGGTTGACAAAGGACGAGTCACAAAGTCCCTTCTGTCAAGCTCAAATGTCAGCCCAGGAGAAGACCCTTCGTCCGCGGAATGCTCGAGCAGTTCTGAGTCCCGTATGAGTGTGCTTGCAGTACATCAGCACCTAAACAAACCCGGTAGGGGAGTCTCCTTTTTTCACACTGTTTTCAAGGAAGCAACGAAAGTGGAGGATCCCATACGGCTTGGCACAACTTCTTTGGAGCTGCTCCACCCCCCTTCAGTCTATCCACAGTGTCCGAAGAAACCCGGCGGAGATAATACAACTTTCTTCCAGCACCACCCCTCTCTGTGTGGTTTATGCACCCCCTGACCATGCATGTTCCACCAATATTTTTTGAAACCACCCAAAATGGCTGGTGCTGGTTGGGAGAAACAAAGCCTGTCCCAACTCTTCCGTTCCAACTCCGTCGACATCGTCTTTTCGCCTCTGTCGACGTCTCTGTCTGTGGGCATGACCTGGCGATGAGTCGAGGTCAAAGGGAGCCGCGGGCGTATTCAAACATCATTCTCAATGAGCAAAATCAGGCAGCGGCATATATATATATATATATGTATATAAAGTGATACCCAGTGTATATATATATATATATGTGTGTGTTGGACGTGATTTTAGTATATTAGGTGTTAATTACGTGTTTTCTAAGAGTTGTGTGGCTCAATATATTTGAAACATGTGTGGCTCAATATATCATATTTATCTAAACTACGGCCCCTTTAAAGATCTAACTATAAACCTAAACCCATCTTGTGGACTTGTGGACCTCTGCGGTTCCGAGTCTCTTGAACGGGTGGAGCCCACCGTTCCAAGTGAACCCAACCAGATCGAAATTCGACCACCAAAAGAATCCTTGGGCTCTCCATGGCAGAGGTCGGAGCCTCCATAGCTGGGATCCAGACCCTCAAAAGCGTTCAAATCCCTTTCAACATCTGAGTGCCCGGATTCTGACACCAATAACCATTTGAACTTGGAAACCGTAAGAGATGATGGAGGCCCTTTTGAAGCCCTTGAGGCTGTCTCATCGTCACATGTGGTCACCGATGCATCGCCAGAACGTCAAATCCACTGTTGCCGAGTAAAACCACCCTGTTGAACGCAAAATCAATCTCTGGTCCTCTCTGTTCCAAGCCTGCCAGCTTTCACCTAGAATAGGGACCCACTACATCACTGGGAACAGCAGTTGCATGCAGTCCAGGCACCTAGACCTAGACTGACAACCCTGGTTGCTCAAGCCAGAACACCCTATGAATGCTCCTGGTGTGTAATTATTAGTTGAACTTGGATAACTTGGGCTAGTTGCCAAGAAGGGACGATGAAGTTGACCTTGGAATCCCTTTTGGAGCTGCTTCTGATGCTTCTCTGAACCCAGCCTATGGTGGATGATCCCTGCAAAGGGGCTCTCTCAAAGATTCAAGTCCCCAATCCCATCTTTGTTGCTTTTGAACTTTGGCCTAACTTTGGCAAGGTTTTGGGGATCCGCCACTTGACACTCCTCAAAGTGCCAAAAGAGGCTGGAGGCTTGGTGCCGCACTCGGATGACGATTCCACCATCCGCGTCACCTGAAAAAGCGCCGAAGAAAGCGGAAGAACACCCGGGTCGTGTCGACCACCAACTCTCCACATAAGCTCAAGATAACCATCACCCCTGTTAAATTTATATAAATTAAACTAGCAACCAGTTGCCACCCTCCACCCCTTTCAAGCCACTGGCAGCATGAAGAGAAATTCTGAATGTGCCAGCACCTCCCACGCTTCTCATTCGGCCCCGCTCGTCTGAAGACCAACGGACCCCGGAGCACCATCCATAGCAAAGCGCAAGGAGCCGCCACCCGCCGTCTCCCTGAACCTCAGGGGTCTCGACCCGGCGCTTCGCTGGACCCTCTCCTTCCAAGAAACCAGGGAAATCGAAACAGGCCGAGGGTTGAGAGGGCTTATATAGATCTCAAAAGCACGACGACGAAGATTGGTTGAGCCCACTGGCTGGATGGCTTCCTAGGTCCCCATCCGGGCGCCCCGCCAAAGGATCAAAAGGGTGTCCTGAGCGACCCTAGGCCATAGTGGGTTCGAGGAGAACATAAAAATGCAAAAAAATGCAAAGGATATTGAAATGGTGCCCCCCAAAGAGCTGTAAAAAGCCTAAAGTTCTTCATAGTTCTTCTATGTGTACTGAAGATGCTCGTTCACCCGTCAAGCGCACCAAATGAGATGGGATCCTAGAGGGCTCTGGAGGGTGAGTGGTTAAACATGCAGACCTCCCGGTGACCCAGTGACCCTCGATGTGAACCGCCTCCAAAGTAAAAATCCGTCCAGCTGTCACCAATGCCGCCTTGCACGTGAATTCCATTTTAGATCATTTTAGTCTAGTCTATACCCAACAAGCATGTAGTGCATCTTGTGGGCCAAATGTCAGAATCACCTCATTTCAACGGAGCAGCACTGCTTGTGACCCAGCGGGAGGAGCCCCAGCAGCAAACAGGCAACGAACTAGCTTTTGGTGGGCATTTTCTGTATCAGAAGTTGCCTAATATGGAACGCACAAACATGATGAAACCCAAGCCGCTGAATAGTCAGGATCAAGCCACCACTACCGCTACCCCAATCACCGCAGCGACGTTCGTCAGGGCTCCCAGACATATGCTGCCGTACCTGAGAATCCAGATAGTTTCTCTCGAAGGCCCACCGCCCAACAGTCCAATGTCACCTGGCCTGTCCGTAGGTTCCCTGCCAAGGAAGCTTCAACCACTGCGTGCTGAGAAGTCGATCCCCAAGCATCCCGAGCCAAAGAGAAGTCGTAAATCATGCCGGTCAGTCGTGAACATACCGGACATCCTGAACTTCTGGGCCGGACTGGCTGAGCCTCCCCCACAAAAACCCTCATCAGTCGAACTCCGATCCTGGTTCCGGTGCCCACACAGAATTGTTCCCCCGCTGTTTTGATGGCATGTGCTACACGGGTGTCTATCAAAGCCCCATTGTTCGGTGTGTATCAAGCCCAGACACTCCATGTATGGCATATTTACATATATATTGACCCCTAAAACCATCCCAATGTAGGTAAATATGCCATACATGGAGTGTTTGGGAAATACACCAGCTGTCCAAGAGGTTAAAAAAACGGTGAACGTTGTAGTCTGAAAACGTCCAAACGTGAGTAGAAAGCACAAGGGCCCCCAGCCAAGGGCGGTGTTAGTCCCATCTTTCAAGACCTCTTGGGGTGTCAGTGCCATCTAGATACTCTGAAAGCACTGCACTGATCTGCACTGTATAAAATCCATGTTTCTTCACGATTCAAAAGCCTTACAGTAATGGCTTTTTCAGAAAACCACAAGCTTCGTCACGACCTTCGCCCATTAACTCGTGCACCCATGAGACACGGAGGGTGTGACTCCAATGTTTTGCGGTTCAAAAGAGGTGATTCTTCGTGAGTTGTGCTTGTGTTGAACTTTTGGGTTGTGTATGGCAAGCCCATCCCCTCACAAATTAAACTTCATGTAGACTCAGTACATGCACCACCCACTCATGAAACCTTTGTTACTGTTGTGTTTGCCCTTGAAGAATTCGAAGCATTTCCAGCTCTTCTACCCTTAGATCAAGATCCCTCAAGTTCACCTACTCTGCAGCCAAGTTCACTGCATGCATGATGTCTTTCTCCTCCAAGCCTTGCCTCATCCAGAAGAAGGCGCTCTCCACTCCAGGCACACGAATCATGGATTTGGATGCTCCTTTCCCCAAGCGCTTCTAGGATATCTAGCTTGAAACCACAGAACAAAACATCAAAAGGCTCATACACATCAGCCCAACAAGGACAAAACATCAGCCACGAAATCTCAGTGCACCACGCAAACCCCCAACATCGCATGATGTCCTGGGCGGTGCAGGCTCAGGTGCGGGTGGCATTCAGCCACGCCCAAGTTCATGAAATAGAAGAAATGCGACCTTTCTACCTTACCAAAGGCAGAAGCGTGAAGCGTCGGCATATACACCATGATGAGTTTGTGAAGGAGAGATTGTGGGTCATAAAAGGGCCTTCTGTCAAACATATAATTTATCTATTTGGCACACGGTTGCGCGGGACGCCACAAAAGGACAGTGTTCTAACACAGTGTTGCGTGTAATTAGTTGTCCGTTTTCCAACCTGCATGATCTTCGGGGTCCTTTTCCTAATGCTTCTTCACTCTTCGCTTCACATTCGATCGCCGTTCGCCATCTTCGTCCAAGGCACATCCAACTTCATACAGCCCAAGGTGTCTACAGGGAGACCCCGTGGCCGTTTCTGGGGATAGCGGCCTGCCGGTCCGCGGTCCACTTCGGCCACCGTTTGGACCCCGCTCTTTCGGGTTCCGGTCACCGCTGGTATTCGGACCCTTCAACGGTGGTATTCGGAAACTGGAGGGTTTTGAACGTTCGGAAACTGGACGGTGGTATTCGGAAACTGGAAACTGGACGGCTATATTCGGAAACTACGAAGAGGAACACCAACACTATTCACAGAGAGCATCAACTTTTCACGCAACTACCCACCTATGTTTATTGCCCCCCCACCCCCCACCCCACCCACAAATTTTACAGAATACGAGGAACATAGTTTCTGAATACCACAAATAGTTTCTGAATAATTACAACGAAAATCAACGGAATAGTTTCTGAAGACTAGTTGTTGAATACAGCGCAGTTTCTGAATACGACTTTGCTCTTCGGGTGTTCTAGTGAGGCCTATGCGAAAACCATTTCAATCCAACTTGGAAGTACCACCCACAATCAAAAACAAGGACCCTCTATATACTGTATATTATATCTATATTTGTTTTCAGTTGCTAATACTATAAATCTAATCTATATCCAAAAGCACCCTCCGTAAACCTTACAAATTAAACAACCATAGGGAAACCGTGCTTCTTCGCCAGTGTTGCTGGCTGCTTCCCTAAGGACTGCCCAGAGTACCAATCTCCTTCGTTGCAAAACCAGAACTCCAGAAAAATCATCCAAACTCAACCGTTATGAATATAGCTGGGCAGCTGGGCAGCTCCTTGTAGCAATCTCCCTACCTGGGCTACCCCACATCACGAAAACAGCGACCGGGCCCCCACATCACGTCGAGGCATCCAGGTGATCCGGCCAAAACCGGCGATCGTTTTGGAGATCTGAAGGGAATCCGCCGAGCTGGGGGATCCTCAGAGGATCAGATCCGAGTCAGGGTGTCATGGCGGGAAAAAAAGAATCACGGGTGTCTGACAAAAGCCTCGACCATGGGACCTGACTCAGTAAAAACAGGCACGTGTCCTTGCAATTGTCCTCAAAGGTCTTTTGAGACTCAAGGTGGGAATGGGTGAGTTTTGGTCGGTCCGGGGCTCATGTCCCCACGTCTCAGAGACAGCCACATACACCAGTGACCCCAAACTGCATCCACACCGTGATGTGGTTAGATATCGCCGATGGGGTGCACAAGAAATCCGCTTGATCTGATGAATGCTGCAGATCAAGCCGAAGTTCAGCCAGGAGATCACATGTTGACCTGGTAACGACTAAGTAGCTTATATAATGTAGACTCTTGATTAATAAACCCCCCAATATGAAGAGGATCTTCCAAGTCAATTGGGGGGGTTATTAATCAAGAGTCTAGATTATATGAAGCTATGTTTGGGATGCACAGTCATGAAGTGTGTGCAGTGCTTTTCAGGCCGGCGTCTTGCTATCTTCACCACCGGGATGTAGATGACCTGTATCGGCCATGCGTTATGCTTCCAAAGGCTTCCAACAACCACTGGCAACATTGCCATCAAGTCACCAAGTGTCTGATATTCTTCGGTAATTATATAGACTCTTCAAGCTACACCCCCTGTTTGTAGAGTACAATACGAGGCCAGAACGTCCACTTCCATGCAGGGAAGTAGCGATTCTAAAAGGACTTCCGCTCTTCCACCGAACAAAACGCCTCACCGGGCCCCCCCGAGCGTGAACGATCCTTGCGCGACATCTCCTGCGTGTCTTCGTGGATCGGGCCGGTCGACGGATCACGATAGGTTTATATAGATCTCCAGCCCATGGTGTTGCTTCATCTTCCTGGGGTCCGACAAGGGGTGCTAGTCCTTCTCTCTTTCTCTTTCTTTCTTTCTTTCTTTCTTTCTTTCTCTCTCTCCCTCCCTCCCTCCCTCCCTCCCTCCCTCGCTCGCGCGCTCTCTTTCTCTCGCTCTCTCTCTCTGCCTCGGAAGTCTAGCTGTCACAGGAGCTTGGTTTTCAGCATTGTTCAGGAAAGTGACTCAGTACCAATCAGTGCCAGCTAGGCTTCGTTTGGCAAACCCGACAATATACCGGACATGTGCTATAACATATATATATATATATATATCAGCAACATTCAATATCTGATGTTCTTCCCTCGTTCACGACTTCATCCTCCTCCAGTGGCTGACACAAACGAGCCAGTCGTCGGCCATCCGCACGGAGGCTTTCCGTGGGTTCCCGTCGGGGTCACCTTCGATCGCTTCGGTGTGCGGAACCTCTCCGCCTGGGACGTGGCGTGGAACTCGTCGCCGCCTGGGGACGCGGCGTGCCGAGATTCGAGTGGCCCCAACCCAATCCCTGCAGCTGCCATTGAAGCCTAAGAAACTGGAAAGAACAATGGAGAGAAATCATGACCTGACATCTTTGCACAGTTCGATGTTTCCTTCCGAACATCTCCGAACCCCTGCGGGTTGCATGGTCCGGGTGTTTAGGTTGTCTGCACCAGCATGGCTGTACGGGTCAAGATGTATATAAACTGATATATGATACTTATATAATGCGTTTGTTCATGTCTGTCCGTCTGTCTGTCTGTGTTTTGATGACAGGTGCCCCACACCCATTGGTATAAGCTCCAAAACCGATCGACAGGACGATCCAGGAGGATGCTGGTGCTGCTTGGGCCCTATAGTTTTCCAAGTTTTGAATTGGTGGATTCAAAGGGATTCAGGAAAAAAGGAACAGCTCCACACCACTCAGTGGAAATAGAAAAAATCCTTAGCATGCTAGGGGGATGTCTGACTGGTAAGGCTCAGACCTGCACAGAACCCATATGTGCTATCTGTATAGACTTGAAGCGCTCGCACACGCGGAACCCGAATCAGACCGACGCAACCTGAAGAACCCAAAGACGAAAAGAACCTTCCTCTCTGCTGGGTAGAATTCTCCTTCAACGAGCAGGTTGGGTTTGGGGTCGTTCTCGAGTTGGTCTCCTGCCTAAGGAGCACGTGACATCACTGACCCGCCGTCAGGGCTGCCTGAGCCCTTGAGAACATCAACGGCGAAGGTGTTCACACATCGGGATCATTGGCTTCCGCCGTCCATGTCACACAGAAGACTACCATGTAGTCTTCGGAGGGTAGCTACTAGTTCTGGCCACCAGTTTGAAAGGCATACCATGACAAAATATGACTATTAAGATCTATTAAGTATAACTTCCCCCAAGGCAAACCTAATCTCTGCAGCTTTTGCAGCCAGGTTGCTCAATGACTAGTAGCTCATATGGTTAGTTGTGGTTCGAGCTATGATGATGGATTTAGCAGGTACCAGGTATAGCTCTGCATCTGATATATCGCTATTGATGAAATACACCTAAAACATCCCTCACACCCCGTTACAACACAACTAACTCTGAGGTTCTCCCAACTTTTCAAAGGAGGCCGCTTTTCAGAATGAGCCTCTCCTAGGTCTGTACTGATGGACTCTCACTCCCAGTCCCGCATCGGGACGATGGACTCGTGCCACGCGACGACCAGGACGATCCGGACGGTGATGCTGGAGGTAAATATCTAGAGATCAATAGGTGTGTTCGTTCTTAAGAAGGGCCCTGGCTGCCAGGAGATGATCTCGAGACATGCTAATTTTCTTTACACTTACCTGTTCCAAACTTCCAATCCATCACAAGTGACCTCTTTCTAATCGACAAGAACTGTGAAAACAGCTCATAGCGGGCGCTCGACTCGTTTCCCTTCTGGGGGCAACTTTCATGCCTGTAAGTCAAGTGAGCAATCGAAGTCCATTGCACCCAGTCCTTCCCCCTGATTCACTCATTAGATTCACTCTTTAACGACCCTTCTCCAGCTGTGCCAGCTGTGACCGAAGACGTCTTTTCAGGCAAATCTTCATCTTGGATTGTCATTTCGCTGCTGCCACACCTGTTTGGACAAGTGCTTGCCAGCATTCATCTGGGGCATTGGCGTCCTGTCCCAAAAGGACACCCGTGTCACTGGTGGATGCTTCATCCGAAGAGCTTCTACCTTTGTGGCTTGAATGAGTCTTCCGGAAGTCCCCACCTTCAGTGGCCGACTTTGGTGGCTTCTTCTGTATCTCACCTTCCATGGCCTGAGATGAGGCCCTGAGATTCCACCTTCTTCCTGCAGGATGCCATTGCGACGCACCGCTTCCCGACGACGCGACCCTGGGGGGGGCCGCCTTCAAGCGCCCCCAAGGTCAGCCAAATCGGCCAACGGGGAATGGTCCGAAGACACTCGGAGGTCGACTGAGTTGACTGAAGAACTGCAGGGAACTCTGCGAGAAGTTGAGGGTTCGTTGCCTGATGTCTAATGATCCCTGAATCATCGTCTAATGTGGGTTGACACATTGTTGTTTCAACACTTTTGAGCACTAATCCTACAACTTACAACTACTGTCTTGCTGTTGACCATCCCTGTTGCTTCTTGCCTTGCCTGCTGAACTCCTGCGGTAGCCATGTGTACCGTAGGCAGGCGTAGGCAGGCACAATGGCTGCACCAGGTCAGTGATGGCACTTGTGCCGCACTTCTGCCTTCTCCCAGCAGATGAATCCTTCACTCCAATCTTGACCATCTACATCAGGGGGTGAACATCTAGACTCTCACACTCTCGACCGATTCTGGACGACGACTTCCCCGTCCCGGCGGTGTCCATGCGTGTACCAACGGGTCACACCGTGTACCAACCGGTGTCGTCCCTCCGGGGTCGTAGAGCGGACCAAGGCTGGGACCCGGAGCGGCGGACTGATCAACTTGGGAACGAATTCGACACATCAACAGGTTCCCCCAAAAATTAGATGAGATTTAAGAGTAGATGATGGGCACAATCCCCAGTCGGTCGGTGGTTCAAAAAAGGACCCCTTTATAAAAAACATCTTGGGGTACCAGTGCCATCTACTCTGAAACCACTGTAGATGAGAACACGCCGTCACTTTCACAGTGGACCTAGGAAGCCTGCCAGAAGATACCCTGCGGGGAAGAAGTTCATGAACTGATTGGTGTAAATGGAGAATGCTGAGCTACACACATGTGGAAGCTGTGGTGCCCATTTGACCCTGATGCTTCTTGCTACGGGTGCAGCCACCGGTTCAGCAATCAAATGCAAGGCCCTGATCAGGGGCGACCTGATGGGCTCGAAACCTGGCCCTTCCATTTTCCTGCACAAACCTTAGGTGTACCCACTAGGCCTATAGTATATGGTATTGGTTATATTGTAACCATAATAATCATAATAAGGGATATATATGGTGAAGATGAATGTGACCTGCATAATCCTACATAATCCGAACTATTGTATTAATAAATCGTAATATTATTAATATACCAGGACACCCGGGCCAGGGGTGTCTGTTGATAGCCCCTTAGAGGTCAAGGCCGTCGTGGGACCCTCGGGCCCACCAAACAACCGCGACGTGAGTCGCGACGTGTACGGCTTCGTAGCCCACATGGGGATGAACATCACACCCGGCGGGTTGGGGACCACAAGGTTGAACACATGTAGCGCGACAATGGCATGAAACACTCTATCCACATCATATCCCATCATATCATATCATATCCCTATACCATGGCAATACCTGAAGGCCCAAGACATGATCTGTTTCCCATCCGTCTGCAAAAACCGCTCCTTCCTCCTATTGGGAGCTTAGGGATTTGGAACACCACAGGAACATCTGCTTCGGAGTTGCTCAGAGACTTGAAACAACAAAACCAATTCTATACAGTACATCGATTTTCCAAGTGCAGATTGGTGTGGATGTCTGGATGTCCCCAAAGGAAAACACACAGACCAAAAAACATCACGCTAACTTCGGGTCCTTCCTTTTGGATCAATCTCCGCATCTGATCACTGATCCTCTTCGAGAGAGCATCCCAGCAGTGAAGTGGGGACAGCAAACGCAAGCGTGGGAAGTTTGAGATGCGCAGTTCGTGGGAAATTCTAGTACCAAACAACAAGATCCAGCTTTCCCCAATTAAGCAAAAATGGGTCACCGAGACACAAAGATCCATGGAACGTGTGACAGTGTTGCTGACGATTCATGGGCACCCCCTCAAAACATCAAAGAAACTGACTTCTCAAACTGTATTTCACTCAGCAACCTTCATTGAGTTCTGGTGGTGTCTCCCAAGTAACCTCTTCAAACATGTGTTGTACATATATATATATATATTATATGTTACTATATTGCACATTTCGAGTATATACGTTAGATAAACAACATAAAGCTGATTGTTTCTGCAACGTTCGTCCAACTTTCTGCCAAACTCCTCCGGAAATGCAAACCCCTCCCACCAGGCTGACAAACACGTCACCCCGAGCCACAAGGGCGGGAACGGGATTGACAAAGCCCCCCGATTGAAGAGGACACCAGCAGAAACCTAGGTCCAAGTACGACCTAGCGAAGGTAATCAAACAAGTGACAAAAGCATCATCGATAAGACATGATGAAACCTCTAAGACTCTAATTGTAGTCATTCATGTTGAGTATATAGTTTAAATACCCACCGCCAAAAACATAAAACCGTTCCCGCGACCACTGGTTTGGTATGATTCTGTGGTTTCACGCGGTGGTGGGAACCTCAAAAACAGCAACTCTCTCGACACGTGTCTAGCAACTAGGACTTCACGGTTCCAAGCCCCTGTCAACGGCCTTTTTCCATCAAAGAATGTACATCACACATTATGGATGCTGTAAATATATTGTTGTATGATGTTGTATGCATT